ACCCCTGCCCCGTGCCTGTGCTCCACTCTGGAGTGTCACCAGGGTGCCACCAGCTCCTGTGGTGCTGCTGGGGGGTTTCTGTGCTCTGAGGGTTTGCTGTGCCCCCTTCCCCCCACGGGTGTCGTTTCCCACAGCAGCAGCCTGGGCTGTGCACCCCCAAAACGTCTGGGCCTGCTCCCCACATTCCTTCCTGCTGAAAGTCAGTGCCTGGGCCCACTTCACTGGTTAATAAAGAACAGCAGTCTTCTTTTTCCAACTCTTTGCTTTCCTCTTGGCATCAGCCAAGGGCAGGCAGGAAACTCCCCAGTCTGCTGGGCACCAGCTCCCTTTCCTTGGGTCTGCATCTGCAGCCCCAGGAGGTTTTGGGAGGGGGCTGTTGGCTCCAGCTGCTGTCTGGGGCTCTGTGTGTGGCTAAAGCAGTGTCTTGCAGCCGGGTGTGATGAGCAAGACCCTGCCCAAAAGCAAGTGTTGGTGCTGTCTCCTCTGGCTGAGGGAGGGGGGACAACGCCAGCGTCCCCTTGTCTGGGGCTCTTGGAATAGTTTTATTGTGGGATGAAGAATGCTTCAGAGGGATGAGAGGGAGCAGCTGGTTAGTCCTGGAGAAAAGTTACGTGGCTTATCCCGGCACTGGCAGGATTGCTGGGCCGTGGCACTGGTGATGTCTGTCTCGTGGAGCTGCCCTGGGGCACATCCTCCTGGCCAGCTTCAGAGCTGCACCACTGAGACTCAGTTTGATGGGATAATCCCTGAGCTCCTGGTTAATCATCCTGCCCCCCACCCAGGTATGGAGCTGGGGGTTTCAGGACTGTGTTCCAACTCCACTCCACAGTGTCCAGGCTTCCTGAGTCTTGCTCATCAGGAGGAATGTGCTGGGGAAATCTGGCTTTCACTAAAAATTTGCTTTCTGTGAAGCAAACAATGAGTTTCCACAGCCCAAGGGGGTCTTCCCTCTCCTGTGCTGAATCTTCTGTCCCAGGCTGTGGGCGCTGCAGCAGCTGGGACTGAGATACCACAGTGAAAACAAGGGAGCAGCCTGTGAGCCTGGCCTTGCATTGAGGACTTGTGGAATGTAGAATCAGCCTGTATTTACTCTTTAACCTCGTTTCTCAGTGCCTGAAGGCCCACAGGTCCCCCTGTGGACACCCTTTCTGCAGCCACAGGCTATGGGGTACAGCACTTCTCTCCCCCTTGGGCAGGTTGGTGGTTTTTCCTACGTTGGGGTCACATTTTTTGTTCCCTGGTGACACTTTGCCCCGGGCTGGTTGGGGGGATGGCACTGGGAACTCTTTTCTGTTGTAAAGGTTAAAATGTTCCTTGTGCTGAAGGAGATGTGGTAATAACTGAATAAACCCCAGCCTGTGAACAGGGAGGACATCACTCCAAGCAAGATAAACAGCAGGGAAAGGATGGACAACCACGCCTGAGGAGCCCCACAGGACCCTGGTAGGACACTGGATGGATCCACTGGCATTTGAGGTTGTGTGGAGTGTCCAGGACACACCACTGGCCTTGTCATCGCCGTGCCCAGCCTGGGATGGGGCTGGGCCATCCCTGGGACACACATTTTGGGGACCACATCTGGAACCACAGCTGCTTTAACCCCAGGCAGGTCCTGCTCCCTGCTCAGAGCTCCTGCAGCAGGTCCTGGTGGGCTTTTCCCTTGCAGAAAACACCTCCTGGGGACTTCACACTCCCTCAGGCTCCTCGTGCCCTTGCTCAGCTCTTGCTTGGAATAAACCATGGAATAAACCCCAGTAGCCACAAATGCCTGGGCTCCACCTGAACTCACCTGCCCTGGCAGGGCAGGAGGGAAGGAGAACAGGCAGAGAGACCCTGGCCTGACCTCTTCTCTGATGTGCTGCAGGTGCAGAGTCCCAGGGCTGCGTTTCACCCACAGTTTTATTTCACCCTTTCATGAAAGAACACTGTTTGAGCCCCTGGAAGCGCCTGGCAGGGCCAGCACTGCAGGTCAGCGGGGTCAGTGTCTGGCAGCCCAGGGTGTGCCAGCCCACGTCTCACTCCCTGCTCGGTCACTGCCCAGAGAGTGTCTGGCCGGGCTGTGGCTGCGACAGGGCGGGGAAACAGCTCTTTTTGATCCTTGGAGATCAAAGAAACTCCAGTTTGGAGCAGGGCTGCTGCAGCAGGGCTGTCCCCAGGGCCGGGGCTGGCTGGAAGGGAGGTGGCTGTGGGCGACTCAGGGCCTTGGCTGTGCCTGCTTTGCTTACGGATGCAAAAATACTGATGGATTTACGTGTGGGTGCAGGTGGATTTATTGCTCCTGCGGTGCTTCCTCACCCCCCAAGGGCTGTGGAGTGGCGTGTCCTCTCTGTGCCCCATCCCAGCAGCGTTCCAGCCCTGGCCATGCTGTGGGAGGGCACGGGATGAGCATCATTCCTGCCCTGGCTTTTCCCAGCTGCCCTGATGGGATGGAGCCATGGGGTGTGATGAGCTGGTCCATCCTGAGCCAGGGGATGAGCGCTGCCACAGCTGAAGGGACCTGGAGTGTCTCCTCTGCCCACGGGAGGTCCCGGCACGGCGGAGCCACAGCCAGCAGCTGAGCTGCAGTGTGGTCGTTTCAAAGTGTTACAACAGGAAAAAACTCTGGTTTAATGACTGCTTTGGCTTTCATGGAATGTCAAAGTCTTAAAATTAATTGAAACAATCTGGAAATGTGATTTTTTTTTCAGCCTGATGGAGGAAGCTGGGAAAAAAAAAAAAAAAAAAAAAAGGGCTTTGGGCTCTTCCCTCTGCTGTTTGCTGTGCAGTTGTGTTGCTCCAGGCTGGAGCTGTGTCTGCTGGTTGGGGCAGAGCCCTGTCCCACGTCCCTTGGCTTCACAAATCTCTCCCCCTTTCGAAGAAAGAAAGAAAAAAATGTTGATAGCTAAAAAATGCACGTAAAGTCATAGAATCACCGACTCATAGAATGGCTTGGATTGGAAGGGACATCAAAGATCATCTCGTTCCACTCCCCTGCCATGGGCAGGGACACCTTCCACTGGTTGCTCCAAGCTGCCCTTTAACACTTCCTTACTCAGGTGCTTGGGAATGGCTCCAGTTCCTCGGGGGTGTTTTACAGATGCAAACCCCTCTGTGCACCCTGTGTCACAGGGGGAGGTGTTGGAGGGATTTTCTCTGATGACCACACATGAAATGAGTCCATACTGGTGGCACTGGGGGATGCCTCAGTTATTGTCCCACTGCTGCAGGCACTCGCTGCTCTCCCATGTTTTTCAAATTATTTCCCAGATTTTCCAGGGTTTTTTCCCCTGATGTACCACTTCTTCTTTCCAAAGTGAAAAGCAGTGTGAGCCCGCACCTTCCCAGGGCTGGTCCCTGCCCTCTCTCACTGCCACCCTCGTGCTGGGCCTGGATGGTGCCTCATGGCATGGCCACAACCTTCCCTTTGGCCCCACTGTCTCTGGCACATTAACTGAACCCACCAATCCCATTTTTCTTAGTTTTTACCTCTTCTCTTGTTGTTTTAGTGAGGTGGGGACGGAGCTCGGCTGGAGGACAAAGCAGCAGCAGCTTTACCTTGGGTTTTAGGAGCCACCATCTGATTCAGCGCCCCTCCAACGGCTGGAAAAGAAGCAATAAGATAAAAACCCTCTCACACAAGCCCTCATTCACCTTGGTCTATTTATAAACTGTTTAGAAGGGCCACGATAACCCAAGCAGGATGCGGTGTCCCTGCAGGGGACATTCCCCGGCCCACGGATAAACTGTTTGGGTTATCTCAGATGTGTTAAAGCAGGGGCTGCCGGCAGAGGCTGGAAATTTTTGCTAAGGGTGAGATTGGGAAGGGTGAGGGGTGCAGCTCAACAGCCCTGGGAGTGCATCTTGCCCAGGGAATTGCTGGATTTCCACTGGGTTTAGGGTTCAGGAGGGCTGATGGTGTTGAGGCACCCCAGGGGAGAGAGGGGCTGGAGCAGCACCAGCAGCAGTTCAGGGCAGATAACCCAAGGTGGGTGATGGAAAAGGGAAAAACCCACCCCTCAGCCCAAGCCATTGCTAATGAGTCCATGGAGCTGGTGGGGTCACACCGCAGAGGGGCAGCTCCAGGCTCGGGAAAAGGACCTTCGGCTCCAGGAATGAGCCTGCAGGGCTGGATCCTGCACCTCTGCCAGGAGCTGCTGACCCCATCTGCACAGCAGCCCCACACCAGGGGATCTGCTGCTCACCATAGAGCAGATTATTTTAGCATATGCTTTTAGTTCTTCCCCTTTTTGGGGCTGCAGGGCTTCTCAGGGCTTTCTGTATCCTCATCCCGGCTCCATTTCCCCTTCTCCACTTGCAGCCTCTCCCTTTTACTTTTGGGGCTCCCTTGCCTGCTCCAGGCTTTGCCTCCATGGGCCATGTTTCTGATCTCTACATCCATTTTCCTGACAGCTTTGGAGCTACTCTTAGTTTCTTTTTTGACAGACTTTCTCTTTTTTGACAGACTTTCTCTTTTTTGCAGAGTTTTTTTCCAGGCAAGGCCAGTGCTGCAGGTGTGGGAACTACAGTCTGTCCTGGAGCTACTGGGGCTCACCCTGTACCCATTTACCACTGGACTCCCCCCAAAGGGACCTGCTGGCCCTGGGGAGTTCATCTACCTAATTCTGGCTTCCTGGGGGCAGAGGAACCAGGGGGATTTGTCCATGTCTGGAATGCAGCTGCTGCTACTCAGCCCTGGAAGTGTTCAGGTTAAACAAGTGACGTGCCAAAAAAATGGAGGAAAACCCTAAAATTGTCCTATAAGTCTGTGCCCAGCCGCTCGAGGCCATGTGGCCGCCCAAACTCTGGTGATGCCTCTTGGTGGGTACCAAACCCCGGGGGGATGTTCAGCACCTGGGGGGTGCCCAAACCATCTCATCTCAGAGCTGCCATCTCTCTGTCCTCGGGACTTCCTTGTCCCGTGTCCCCTGGGTGCCCCCGGCGGGGCAGAGCCCTGGCAGGGGCTGTGTTGGCACAGGATTTGCATCCGTGGCCGCAGGAAGGGCCGTGGCCCCGCGGCTCGTCCCCATCCCGGCCCGGCGCCGTCTCCTCCCTCCGTGGGGCCCCGACGAGGGGGTCGGGGCAGCCTCGGCACGGTCAGGGACACGGGGGACAGGGCTCGTGTCCCGGGGTGAGTGGGGCACTGGGGCTGGGGGGAGAGAGGGCTGGTCCCAGGGCACCCCTCCTGGCCCTGCAGAGACCCCTCTGCACACCCCTGCCTGCCCCCCCTGTGTGGGGACGGAGGAACACACAACGACCTCACGATCAATAAGCGCGTTCGATTTATTATCTATAAGGCAGTCATTTTATAACATGTGTAATAAGCTCATACATATTGCAAAAGCTAAGCTCAGGATTGGTTGGCCTTTAATATTGCTTACATGCTGCTGGAGTTATGTCTGGAGTTTTAATCCCTTTCCTTTTATCTTCAGTACCAAAATCCTTTTTTAGACTCTCGGTTCCCTCTCTGCTACATTCTCTCTGTCACATTCCCGTATTTGCTACATTCTCTGTCACGTCGACAACTTCCAAGGACACCATCCTTCAATGCCCCTTCTCTGTTAACCATTCTTGAGCCACACTATCCAGAGACCCCCCCTCCACACCCCTGCACTGCTCTGCTCACACACGGCCCCCCAAAGCACTGCCCCCCAAAGCACTGCCCCCCAAAGCACTGCCCCCCACAGCACTGCCCCCCCACAGCACTGCCCCCCAAAGCACTGCCCTCAATGCCCACATGTTGGGCACTGCCCCTGTGCCCCCCAGCGTGTCCCCAGCTTCCCCCCCATGCTTTGGGGTGCTGGAGGTCCCCAAAGCCCCGTGGGGGGGACATGGCACAAGGTGATATTTTGGCTAGGAATGTGAGCAGGGGCTGTTTTCCACCATCCTGTCCCCCTTGCCCCCCCCTGCCCGACGGGCCGTGCTGGAGGGACCTCCCCCCATGGGACACCTCTGGGTGCCAGCCCTGCCCCTGCCCTCCCCAGGTGCTCCC